CATCACGGAGTGGTACTTGTCACTGGCTCAACCCGACGACAGAACTGGGTCGGGGTCAGTGTGTCAGGTCAGTATGCAACCTTCAACCGACGATTACGGTCACGCCTGTAGAGGTAATCGCGTAGACGAGAATCCCTCAACAAGCACTAGAGACGTGGCTAGAGAAGTGCAAGTATCAAAAACTAAAGTGTGGCAAACGCTCCGTGAAGAGGGGCTGTATCCGTTTCACGTCCAACGTGTACAAGCCCTTCAACCTGACGATTTTCCAGCAAGAGTGTGGTTTTGTGAGTGGTTGTTGCATCAACATGACAATAATCCGGACTTTTTGAAGTGCATATTGGTGACAGAAGAATCTACATTCACGCGTAATGGGGTGAAAAACTTTCGCAAACATTCATGTTTGGTCAGTAGAAAACACGCAGCTGTCCGTCGGGCACATTTTCAACAAACATTTTCGGTGAATGTTTGGGCTGGCATGGTGCGTCTGCTCGGTAGCGCATCAGCTGATTTCATTTTCTGTTGGAGCGGTATGATTTCGGGCAGAGACGTACTTAGCCCTTCTCGTCAGCTGGAGAGTGAGTACTTTTTCCTTTTTTTTTTTACTTGGTCGCCCTCGTTTCACTACACATTACCTTTGTTATTTCAAGGGTAGTTGTTTCTGAAAAGGAAAACCCCAATTTTGCGGACACCCTGTATAAACAAACTAAAAGCAGCATGTTTTCTTATATGTCGAGCTAGACGAATATTTTCCAATATTATTGTTTTGGAGCAGATGTAATTATTTATAACGCTTCACAAAGAATATAATTCTTGCATAAGAAAGTAAAGTAAGTAAACATCATAATAGGTTACAACGGGTAAAAACGCAATACATTTACCATATAGAGAATAAAGCAATATATCTAGTTTGAAAGCTACTGCTTTTTTACTTTGATATTGCTGCTTTTATGCTTAGGAAATGTGATTAATATGAAATATTTGACAAAGTGAAAAAATAAATATTTTTGTGAAGTAACGTGATTAATGGTATAAAAATATTTTGTAATTGGAATCATCAAAAAATGTACTGACATCAATATTTAAAAATGCCAATAAAGAAACTCTGTTGTGGTTCACAGACTTTATTTAGATATACGAGGGATGCCTTTTAAGTTTTGCATATAGAAACGTAGTAGGGCGCGCGGATCGAACGTCAGTACTGAATCTTAACCTCACTCTTTAGTAAACTTAAATTCAAAGTTTCACAACAATGTGCAGTGTTCTCACTACAGGGAATTTTTAACTGTCCTCAAGTCATTAGAGAAATGGAACTCAACCGAGAACAATTTCGCGCCATAATTTATTACAACTTTCAGAGATAATTATTGCAACAAGAATGCCTTGCTGAGTTAGTGTCTGTTTTCGGCAACGAAGCGTCACATCAGTCGGCAATTTCCTGTTGGTATGAAGAATTCAAACGTGGACGGGTGAGTCTTAGGCCCGTATCGTCAGTCGTCCCTACAATTGTAGGGCGCCTTTATGGCCTCCTTGATTGTCATAGTTTTCTACTACTCCGTGTCAGCGCTCTATTTTGGGGTTATGTTACAAACATCTATTTGCATCAAATGGTGCTTGCTTTTGAGTTATATCATGTTTTGTCAGCCTGAAATTTCCTACAATTTAAAAAGAAAACATATCTTCACAATAGGAGAGCGCTGACGCTGACACAGGACAAGTGTAATCTAGAAATTTTTGAAGGAGAGAAAGGAGTATGACAATCAAGGAGGCCAAAAACGCGCCCTACAATTGTAGGGACGACTGACGATACGGGCCTTAGCGACGATCTCAGGGTGGGTGCACCAAAAACGGCAGTCACCCAGGAAAACGTCAATGCTGTGCGCAAACTCATCATTGAAAATAGACATGTGACATATCGCGAGACTGAGGCGTCCTTGAAGATCTCAAAGACCTCAATTCCAAAAATTTTACATGAAGAATCAGGAATCAAAAAATTAGTTTCTCGTTGGACACCCCACCTGTTGACTGAAGAGCAGAAAGCAGCCAGGGTTAATTGGTGTCAAAAAACGCTTGACCGTTTTAATTCCGGACACTCAAAAAATGTGTACGGCATCGTTGGTGGTGACGAATCGGGGATTTACTGTTATGAACCAGAAAATAAACGACAGTCGGCTGTTTGGGTGTTCCAAAGTGAAGAAAAGCCAACAAAACTCATCCGTTCTCGAAGTGTTTCGAAAAAGATGGTCGCGACATTTGTGTCAAAAGCGGGTCATATTGCAACAATTCCTCTTAATGAGCAAAGAACTGTTACTGCGGATTGGTATACCACTGTTTGTTTGCCAAAAGTCATCACCGAGCTTCCAAAAATCAACCACGAAAGAAGAAACATCCTCCACCAAGACAATGCAAGCTCGAAAAACAATAAAGTCATTTAAAACTACCTACCGTGTTGTTTTATTTCCATATGCAAAAAAAGACATCCCTCGTATGCATAATGTTTTAACTCTCTAATATCAATTTGAGTGTCTGTCAGGTCTGGTCACCAGGAACCAGGGAAAAAGGAGAGAACAAAATAAAGAAGAAGGAGAATTAAGAATTCTATTATCACAATAATTAAATTAGATGTTTAAACTACAAAATTGTTTTCTCCGATCAAAATGTTGCTAGGGTTTCTGGGATATTTTGAACAGAAAAGGACGTTTAAAACTTTTCTCTAAAGCTGAGAGCGACAAAATATTTGAAAAGTGCGAGTTATGCCATTTTTGATCCCGTAAAATAATATGAAAAATTTTAATGTTACCAATGTTCCTTAGTATTCTTCAGACATCCATTAACAAGATCTCGAAACAATTTAGGAGGTATTGTTATTGTAAGCTCTTGTTCTTTAATCGAGCGCGCAACCCTTCATGTTGGACCTCTCTCGCACTCGCGCAGAGTATATACTGAGCACGCGCTATGGTTAACAATTAACAAACAAAGATTTAAAATAACAATACCTCCTGAAATCTCTTGGGATTTTGTTAGTCGATGTTTGAGAAATATTAAATCTTTCGTTTTTTAATATTGCTTTTTGGGGTCGATTATGGTATATTTTGCACTTTATCAAATATTGTATCATCTATATCTCAAAAACTCTCAACTTCAAGTTCAAGTTCTATTATTTTTTGTTCAGAATATCTCAAAAAGCCCTAAAAGCACTTTGTATGGGGCGAAAAACAAAGATTTTTGAAATTTGTTTCAAAACATTGTTCAAAAAAATTATTTAAAAATATGTGAGGCAAATTAGGGCCTGGCAACGTGCAGATTTATTTTTTCGAATAAGATTATGCAAAAATTCCGAATTAGAATATTTTCCATATCAGACGCGAAAATATTGTCTGAGACTAATTTTATTCGTCACAAGTTAGTCCTCAAAAAAGTTGGCTATGAACATGTATAAGAAGGTAATTAAATGGATCATGCCATCAAATAGGCTCATATAATTAGTCCATAATCCTAACAGATTTGACAACATTGCATTCCAGCCTTACCGACGGTGTCAAAAACTCAAATAGCGAAGTATGAGCTGTTTTTTTTTGTTTTTTGTCCTGTAGCTCCACCGCCACTGAACTACAAGGCTTTTTTATTCTTGGTACAGTAGTAACCTTGTAAAAAAAATTCGACTGTTGACTCCGAAGATGATCCAAAGATTGGCGAACAGACCGACGTACAGACAGACCGAATGAAATGAGTGACATGGTTTTTATTGATGTACATTGGTTTTTATTGATGTACGAACCATATAACATTAAAAAAGTGATGCTTCATATTCGAACTTTTTCCCGATTTCAATACTTCCTCGCTAATGGCTTACTAAGTAAATATCAACATTTGGATTACGGGTTTAACTTCCGTGAAAACTTTCTAATTTAGTTCTCCCAAAGATGCTCCTTTATTTCCATTCAGCAGCATCCATAAAAAAAAACAAGAAACTTAGGAGGAGACTAGTAGCGACTTTTTCTATGACCTGAAGACGACCATATAGACTATTGATTTCCAAAGTGGTCTATATCGACCCCTAGGGGTCTATGACAACCTGCAAGGGGTCTACGTCAGCGAAAAAAAATTTGGGGGTCCATGAAATGAATATGGGGGTCCACGATAGTGGATCTCAACACATACACTGATAGTACCTATTTACTTACATCATACTATCTTATAATATCAAAACATATACATTATTTATAAAAGTACCTATGAAGTAAAAAATTTATTATGTATGTTTATAAAATTGTGTAAGTTGTAGGATGTAGGTATTCGCTTTGTGGTCGCAATACATTTTGAACTTGTAAAAACCTGAGAGTCGCAGTCTCAGAGCTTCGCTACCTTGCACTGACTTGTTCAATTCGTCACTCTATAAATACGAATGTGGGACAAATACGTTTATTCGTTTCCTGAATCTTGAAGAGGAAAGTGCTAAGAAAATATTTTAAAAAATATAAACAGATAGTATATCACACAAATTATAGTGAGTCAGTGTTATCTTGTTTGAGAGTGCTGGAGAAAAGTAAGTACATTATTTTTTATTAAATTTTAGTTTTGTACTCGTAGTTAGCAAAGATAGATAAATTACGCCAATCATGACTTTAGTTATTAGTAGTTAAATATTCAATCATGCAAAATTATACGAGTACTCCTCAATAGTTTCTTTTTGAAAGTTTTAGCAATCGGTAATATAATTACAGTGCAATCTCCGTAATTCGAGCTAATTGTTGCAAGAAGATGTTCGAATTATGGAATGTTTTCGGAAAAATCAAAAAATATTTTTAATATACAGCTGCTGGATTTTCTGTCTTATTTAAATAATTTAATTTTGCCCACAGATGACTGATGCCATGTCCGAATTTAAAAAGAAATGTATGCAGTACAGTGTTGATTATTTGAAATTTGGCTTCATTCCATCATTGCCGGACAAACAATCGTCTATGTGCCTTTTATGCAACAAAGTTTTTTGCAATGACGCTATGAAACCAGCTAAACTGCAAGATCATCTGAGAAGATGCCACCCTGATAAAACAGAGAAAGATTTGAAATACTTTCAAACACTCAAAGATAAATTTCAGAAGAGACCTACACTGGACAGAATGTTCGCTTCGACGTCACAAAGAAATGATGATGGTTTGCGGGCATCTTACAATATCTCGTTACTTATAGCAAAATCCGGAAAACCGCATACTATCGGAGAGAAGTTAATTTTGCCAGCCGTTGAAGAGGTTTTAGAAACTGTTTTACACAAACCTGCATCTGATATCATTAAAAGAATTCCCTTAAGCAACAATACTGTTGAAAGACGTATTGATGAAATGAGTTCTGATATTGAAAGCTTCTTATGTAATTATTTGCGAACGACCCATTTCTCTATACTGGACGAGTCAACTTTACCTGATAATGCAGCATTATTATTGGCATATGTTCGTTTTATTACGAATCAAGAAATCTACGAACAACTGCTCTTCGCAAGAACTTTGATAAACGACACTAAAGGTGAATCAATATTTCATGTTTGGAAGGATTACTTCATTGAAAAAGCAATTCCTTTATCAAATATAATATCAGTAGCTACAGATGGAGCACCTGCCATGGTTGGACGTTATCGTGGGTTTATAAGCTATTTAAAACAAAATGTGTCAGGGGTGTTAGCAATACATTGCGTCATCCATCGACAACATTTAGTTGCTAAAAATTTAAGTGATAGATTGCATGAATCACTTCATTTAGTCATTGATGCAGTAAACCGGATCCGAAGCAACGCGTTGAATACGCGGTTATTTGCGCAGTTGTGTGAAGAAAATGAACACTTTCAGCAATTACTCCTTCACACTGAAGTACGCTGGCTGTCGAAAGGCTTACGTTTGACAAGATTTTTTGCACTTTTTGAGACTATTTTAGAATTTCTGGATACTAAAGATAAGATTTTAAAAGAAAATTTAATGAAGAGGAAAACAGATTTGTTTACAAAATTTAATATGGTTAATTTGCAATTACAAGGCGACAGTTTAAATTTGATTAAAACAAAGTCCATCTTATCAGCGTTTCTTGCCAGAGTTAAACTAATATTGGACGGGGCGAATTTTCTCAGTTCCCCAATTTGTCACAGACAAGCTGCCAGGAAGACGAAGTTTCAACTTACGTTCAACATTTAAATGCCCTCTATTCAGATTTTGAATCTAGGTTTGAGGATATTTTGACTATGGTAATACCACCGTGGATAATTAATCCATATGGTGACATAGAAGAAACGAATGTCATAATACAAGAGGAACTGACTGAACTAAGTACAAACGAAGAACTTAAGGTTCAGTTTAAAAACGGATATCAGCAATTCTGGCTGCAAAACAACATACCCGTTACTTATCCCGTATTATGGAATATAGCGAGGAAATTTTTAATTTCCTTTCCATCGTCATACCTAGTGGAAAGGGGGTTCAACGCTACTACCAATCTCCTAACGAAAAAAAGAAACAGACTGGACATCATTAGCCGAGGAGATTTAAGATTAACCCTTACAAAATTGACGCCAAATGTTGATAATTTATTAATAAAGCGTCAGGTTCATCCTTCTCACTGAAATATTGACTTATTGCTTATGTTATTTTATTTATAGTTTATTTTATGTTTATTGGTGTCTGACCAATAAATGCCCGCCTTTCGAATAAGTGCCCCCATTGATTTTTTAAAGAACCCCCTTTATAGAAAATATTTTTTTAAATTATTCTGAAAATTCAAGGATAGGTACGCACTAAAATTCGTTAATTTTTTGCCTATTTTTAGATAACTTAAACGTATAAGAAGCGGAATTTAATCAAACTAACAGTGAAATTATTGTAGAACATACGTTTATGTTATAATTAATAAACGAACTCGCTTATTGTACTATTTTAAGTAAAAATTTTTACTTAAACTTATTCCCAATGCGGGCACTTATTGGTCAGACACCTGTTTATTTAATGTTACGTATATTTTACATAACAGATACAAAATTTTATTTTAAGTAGTTTTAATTTAAATTCAATTAATAAATGTATAAATTATTACATGTGTTTTTACTTTAAGTTTTTAGCACTAAACTTCACTACAGCTAGAAATTTACAGGAAATCAATATCAGGTAAGTAGGGGGTCTACCCAACATGGAAAAACATGCCAAGGGGTCTACGATACAAACAAGTTTGGGGAACTCTGATTTAGACTATAACAACTTTGTTCAGTTTGAAGGGAACTAGACACAAAACTCTGCTGAACGTGTTTATTTTAGGGGCCAACCACATTCACTAAAACGAAATCCGTAGTTTTTAGGAAGACCTTTTGATACTAATTGGATATCTGTGTTGATGAAAGGAATGCGGAAAAAAATCTGGTTGTTATTTGGTTGTTGCCACGTCTAATTATCCTAATTGCTGTTCATATATATAAACAAATTGTAGATTTGGCAAACCCTGACGGGCGACATTTTGAAAACTTATTGGAATAAAAAGTGATATTTTCGTGTGGTTTTGTTTTATATATGAACAAACTAAGTTAAATAAAAATTTTTCCAATTTTCTCGAACACGAATCGACTGATTTAAAAAAATCAAACGTCAAAATAAAGCACCTTAGAAATACCTTTGAAACAAGCTATTACTCAATACCCCCTGTCATTTAAAATTCTAAAGGGAATGACCACGGGGGGATGAGGATGAAAGGGAATGAAGTATTTCGAAAAAATATTAGTTAGTGGTCGATCACGATTTGCCCGCGGGAGGGGAAGGGGTCATGATTCTCCCTTAGGTGATCAGCACGACGACGGCCCGACGAGGCAAATCCTACTCAGGCAGTCGCGAAATATCGGCATTCAGTCTTTGCCCTTGCAGCTGTTCCACTGTTTAAAAAAGGTAGAACGGAACGAATACGGAAAAGTAGAAGAATGTATCCTCGACACTTATGAAGGGAATGCCCAAAAATAAATTCCTGGCGGCAGCGTATATCTGGGTGTCGGAAGCTAAATAGCCTACTAAACGATCATTACTAAATATTTATCGCTGGGGGCTCTTTACGGCTCTCACAGCCATCCATCACGCGGCAACAGACGACGGTCGACGTTCTGGCTCTATCCAGACGCATTCCTTGTACCGTGAAAAATGCCGAGCATCAATCCAGAAGTAAGAAACTGCCAGAAGAATGTACTTTCAACTTTGTTAAGTGGAAGGCGCTTGGTGATTCATTCGGTTATATTGCTATTAATATTTTCTCAAATGTGTAAGCTACGACCTGCTTTTGTGATTTGTTACTTAAAATCCTGAATTTTGATTCCTCGAAAGAGATTTATTCAAAAACCCGTGACCAACAAAAGGTGCTTTCTCTCAAATTTAAAAGCATAGTGTTAAAGAGGACAGTACCCTGTGTTTGTAGATGTTTGTCAATTTTATACTGATGCAGCCGCATAGACAAAAACCTAAATACCGAGGCATAGTGTTTAAATTTATGTATTAACTGTACTTAAAACTGTGTTAAGCAAAAATTGTTATGAAACAAGAATTAAATCCTCCTGTGGGATTATTTCAGTTTACTTGCGTATACAGGGTGTTTCAGTTTATTGTTGCATAACTTTAAGATTCGATAGAACTTTTAAAATTAATGCATAAAGTCTATATAAACATGGGTCGAAAAATGCGTGGCTTCCGAAATACAGGGTGTTTAAATTTACTTTCTAAAATATTTTTTTTAAATATTTCGTACAATATTTGATGTATAACAGTGAAAATTGGTATACTAGGGTTTTTTAGTACGACAAAACGAACCATGGGCATAGTTTTACTGTAGCCGCTAGAGGGCGCTCTCTACTGTACCTGTATTAAAATGACCGAAAATTTTTTCTTAGTGCAATTTTTTGCTTTTTGAATAAAAAAAACTGATTCTTCACACTTTTCAACATAAAAAAGCTCTCTTGTGAATTTTCGTTATAGTTAGCCGTTTTTGAGATATTTCGATTTTTAAGGTTCGATGCATTTTTAATTATATATGATAAAATAACGTTAAAAAGTCAGTATCTCGATAATTTTTAGAAGTAGGCTGTGCCTGCAAATATTTTGAAATTGAAAGCTGAATAAGGTTAAACGTCAATTAGTTGACAGTTTTGTTGTCTGTTGAAACGTTTTTTTGCAATTGTGAATGCACGAAATTTAGTTTCTTTTACCTGTTTTTTTTTGTAAGTTTTATAAAAATGCCATTTTTATTCTCCAATCAAGAGTTAGCGGATATTCATTTTGTGTATGGCTTTGTAAATGGAAACACATCAGAAGCAGCCAGAGAATACGCACGAAGATTTCCAAACAGACGACATCCAACTCGTTCAGTATTTGTAAGAGTGCATCGCCAAATAATTGAAAATGGTTTTGGAAATCAAAACATAAATGTTTGTCAGCGCAGATTTACCCGTATGATTCAGCGTGAGTTTGATAGAGATCCGACCACAAGTGTTAGGAGAGTTTCTGGTGCCTTGGGAATTTCAGCAAGCCATATTCAACGTGTTCTTAGAAATAACCATAGACATCCTTACCATTTGCAACCTGTGCAAGGACTACAGCCAGGGGACGGAGAACGAAGAATCACATTTTGTCAGTGGATTCTTGATAGAACTGATAATAATATTGAGTTTTTAAGTAACGTTTTATGGACCGATGAATCATGCTTCACTAGACGTGGAGTGGTAATTTTTCATAATCAACATATTTGGTCGCATGAAAATCCGCATGCAGTTCGGGAAAGAAATTTTCAGCATGAACTTAGTGTGGACGTATGGATTGGTATCTACCGTAATCGACTATTTGGACCCTACCTTTTTCCTGCAAAGTTAAATGCTGTGACCTTCTTGGAATTTTTAAAGGCTGAACATGCAAATATGTGGGATGATGTTATGTTACGAGTACATTTGAGAAGATTGGCCTGGTTCCAGCTTGATGGTTGTCCAGCTCATTATTCGAGAATAGTTAGAAACTGGCTGGACGAAAATTATCCAGAAAGATGGATCGGCCGTGGAGGACCAGTCGCCTGGCCTCCACGATCCCCTGACCTAAATCCATTAGATTTCTTTGTGTGGGGATTTCTAAAATAAAAAGTTTACCAGACTCCCGTAACCACAAGAGATATGCTAATAGACAGAATCAGGAATGCATGTGATGAAATAAGGCCTTATTTGAATAATGCTATACCACGTTCGATCATTCGTAGATGTGAATTGTGTATTGAACAATTGGGTTTACATTTCGAGCAACTACTTTAGATTTTGTATGTTTGTCCTAACTATCCAATAGCAGTTTAGTTGTTAAAAATAATATTGGAAAATTAAACAAATTTATATTCTGTTTTTTTGTATTTATTTGGAGTTCGGAATTATTGCTGTGTTTAAAAATAAAATCTAAACGATCATCTTAATTACTTGTAATGCCCAAATCGAAAATGTAAAAAAAAATATTATTTTCCCATAGGTAAATAATTAAAAATGCATCGAACCTTAAAAATCGCAATATCTCAAAAACGGCTAACTATAACGAAAACTCACAAGAGAGCTTTTTTATGCAGAAAAGTGCGGATAATCATTTTTTTATTCAAAAAGCAAAAAATTTCACTAAAAAAATTTTTTCGGTCATTTTAATACACTATAGGTACAGTAGAGAGCGCCCTCTAGCAGCTACAGTAAAACTATGGTTCGTTTTGTCGTACCAGAAAACCCTTGTATACCAATTTTCACTGTTATACATCAAATATTGTTCGAAATATTTAAAAAAACTATTTTAAAAAGTAAATTTAAACACCCTGTATTTCGGAAGCCACGCATTTTTCGACCCATGTTTATATAGACTTTATGCATTACTTTTAAAAGTTCTATCGAATTTTAAAGTTATGCAACAATAAACTGAAACATGCTGTATACATATTTATTTTCATTAGACTGTAATACTTTATACGTGAATAAACTTATATTATTATTATAGTGGCTGCTATAGGGAGATTGTTAATCTGATCTTTGAACTGAATAAGGTTAGTATAACAGGGACAAGCCTCATCAGACAGATTGTTTTACAATATCGACACCCTGGGAACAAAGGAGTGGTCGTACCGACCCATTCTTGACGTAATTACTACAAAATTCGACATGTGGCAGGTAGGAGCCCTTTGACATAGCGTTGAAAACAAAACCTTGGTTACACTAAGTTCGCTATTACCGATTGTCAAATTTGAAGTTGTGGTAAGTAACTCGTTATAACATTTTGGTTATGAAATCCGTGAGGTTATTCTTTATCCACCGTGTTGTGATTTGAAAATATGTTATCTCAATATGGATACTACTAAAGAAGCTATTTGATCTGATATATAATAAGC